GCTCCCCCAGCTCCCCCAGCCCCCACAGCCCTCCCAGCCCTCCCAGCCTTCCCAGCCTTCCACGGCATGCTGGAGCGGGCCCCGGCAGAGCCCTCCTACCGCGCCCCCATGGAGAAGCTTTTCTACTTACCTCACGTCTGCAGCTATACTTGCCTGTCTCGAGTCAGACCTATCAGAAGCGAGCAGTACCGGGGCAAGAACCCTCTGCTCGTCCCACTGCTCTACGACTTCCGGAGGATGACAGCCCGGCGCCGGGTAAACCGCAAGATGGGCTTTCACGTTATCTATAAGACGCCCTGCGGCCTCTGCCTGCGGACAATGCAGGAAATCGAACGCTACCTTTTTGAGACTGGTTGTGACTTCCTCTTCCTGGAGATGTTCTGTTTGGATCCATATGTTCTTGTGGACCGGAAGTTTCAGCCCTTTAAGCCTTTTTACTATATTTTGGACATCACCTACGGGAAAGAAGATGTTCCCCTATCTTGTGTCAATGAGATTGACACAACGCCTCCACCCCAGGTGGCCTACAGCAAGGAACGAATCCCGGGCAAGGGTGTTTTCATTAACACGGGCCCCGAATTCCTGGTTGGCTGTGACTGCAAGGACGGGTGCCGGGACAAGTGAGTCGGTAGGGCTGTTGCTGGCCCCCTCCGCTTTGCTGTGGCCGCCTTTGGTTCCATCTCTTCCTGTGTCTTATGTCTGCATGCCTTTCCCCACCTCCCTTTACCTCCTTCCTCAGCTGAGCTCCTGCCTTGAGGCCTCCATGAGAGCTGTGAGATAGGGGTGCTGGGCCTGACTTGCCCCACTGCACACCACTGGGTACATGTGTTTCTGTCTCTGCTTCTCCTCCTTTTCCTTTGCTTCCCTCCACCATGCTTTCAATTTCATCATCTGTCTCTCTGTCTTACTCGCACTCTGTCACATTCTTACTCTGTCTTTCCCTTTCTCATTTACATGTATGAGAGAATAAAAAGAAATATCCCCACCTTATCCCCATCCTTTTATCAGTGCTTCTTGCCTCTAAAGAAAATCTCACAGCTCTAGCTGTCATACTTTCTATCACATACAGGTCCAAATGTGCCTGCCATCAGCTCACTATCCAGGCTACGGCCTGCACCCCCGGTGGCCAAACCAACCCCAACTCTGGCTACCAGTACAAGAGGCTGGAGGAGTGCCTGCCCACCGGGTAAGTAGGGGAAAGCAAAGCGCCTCACTGAAGGGCTCATTCTTGGTTTTCTATGCTTGTAGGAACCATCAGAATTCTAAAACTTGGAACCAAGAATAGAATAACTGAAACAGGCATGTTATCAATTAAATCTTATTTCCTGAAATCCCAGCACAAGTTTCTTACTTGGACTTTCCTTGAAATGAAGACATAGAATGATTGAAAAGTGTCTAGCAATTTTCTGTTGCGATCAAAGGTGATCTTAATTTTATAGCTGCATGAACGTCCTAACAGATTGCCCTCAGCTCTCCAACCAGAAATGGAGCGGAGGCGGCGGAGCCAGCATGTGCGCTGGAGAAGGACAGGTCAGGAACAGAGGGGACCGGGAAAAGGGTCACGTAAGAGGAAGTGCGCTAACAAGCCCAGGGCTCAAGATGCATAATTAGCAGAGAGAACAGAAGAGAGGAGAAGGGCATCAATGAAGTAATTCAGATATTTTCCCGTAAGTGAAGAGCCTGTTTCCAAACTGAAAGGGCCAGTCAGGTCCTAGCGTAATGGATGAAAATAGACCCACACTAAAACACACGATAATAACACTGAGGACAAAAAGAAAATCCTAAAAGCTTCTAGAGAAGAGAAATAGATCACACAAGAAAATATTCAAAATGACTTTAGCCTTCTCAAAAGCAACATTGGAAACTAGATGACAATTAGGGAATCCTCTCAGAATTCTCAGGGAAATGATTTCTAACCTGGAGTTCTAAACCCAGGCAAACTGTCAGTTGAGCGTTAGAGCAGGCTAAAGATGTCTTTTAGGACGTGAACTACCTCAAAATTTTCCATTACTCCCCTTCTCAGAAGTTACGAAATGTTTACCAGAATGAGGGGATAAAGTCAAGAGAGAGCAAAGCATACGAATCCAGGAAACAGGATCTTGAAACTCAAAAGGGGGGTGAGGGGGACCCCACAGATGATAGTGAAGGGAAAGGGGGCTTCCAGGCTGACTGTGCTGGGTGTGGAGAACAGCCAGACCTGGCTGCAGGAGAGCCTTCGGGAAAAATGAACCATTTGATAGAAAACCTGCTGTGTCTGAGACGTTGAAAACTAAGCAGAGGAAAAAGACAGTTATTAGCTTTCGCTGCTTCACTGTATCATTTTATGTTTTCACTACAAACAAAATATGTGAATCTTGTAACAATGTTTAGACTTGATAATGCTGGGTGGTAGGTAAGTGTTCATTGTATCTTTTTTACATGTTTGAAATGTTTCATAAAAACGGTTTCAAATAATCACAAATAATATGTCACTCCCCTGCTTAAAACTCTCTAATGGCTTCCCACTGTACTTTGGATTTTATTCTAACTTAATCTTGGGTCACAAGACACTGCACTATCTTGCCTCTTCCTATCTCTCTCCCTCCAGAACTGTTCCAGCCACATTGATACTTTTCACTTCCCAGATCCAGTTCACCCAGTGTCTGCCAGCCTACCTCCAGGGCCTTTGTACATACTGTGCCCTCTTCTTGGCATCCTCCCACTGTCCTTTGCGTAGTTACCTTCCTTAACCTTGAGCTCTCTCAGCTCTGTGTTCACCTCCTCAGAGAAACCTTTCCTGGTCACTCTAAAACTAGGTCATTGGCACTCCCTCAGTTCTCTCAGCGAGCGTCCTGTGTGTGTCCTTTATAGCATCTGTGACAACTTGGCGTTTATTATATTTGTTGACTTGTTTTTGTTCTGTCTTTCCCATTAGAATGTAAGCTTCATGGGGGTGGGGAAGCTTATCTGTCTTGCTCCCTGCTGGCTGTATCACCAGCAGCTAACTTACCCAGTGCCTGGCACATAGGAACAACTCAAACACATTTTGGTGAATGAATGAGTGATACTCAGTGTAGCTCTCTGGACGTTTCATCTGGTGATTAAACCTGAGTTCAGATTCTGCCTCCTCCCTCCCAAGCTGATCCTGGCTCTTCGGCAGCAAACAGGATATGAACACTGACACCCCCACCCCATCCCCAATGGGGTTTTAAGGGACTGAACTAAGCCATTTCTTAATATGGTTGCTGGTTCCATAGTGTTTTTGTGAAAATTCGTTGAGCTGTAGACTTATGTGTCCACTCTTCTCTGTGTGTTATGCTTTAATAATGCATTTAAAGTTTAAAAAAACAACAACACCACCCTCATAGGGCTGCTTTGAGGATAGAAGAAGAGACTGTATGTAAAGCAGTGACACGATGCTAAACCCAAAGCATATGCTCAATAAATAGAACCTACTCTGACCGTCTTTGTCCAGAGGGATAAGGCGAACGTCATCAACCAACTAATTGGACTCGTGTCATCTTTCCAACGATAAACGTCTCCCTTCAGTTTCCATACCAGGAAAATCAGAAGTCAAATCCTAACAGCACAGCAGGTAGAGCAGAAACACTGACACCTGGAAAGACTAGCAGTTCTCTCGCTATAAAACTACTTCCTTTAATGACCATATTTCCTAGATCTCTGATTAACCTCAACAGTTTACTTTAAAAATGTTGTTAAATCCCTTGAACTAGATATAGAACGTGAGCTCCCTGAGATTAGAGGTTACGTTTTCCACCATTGTGTCCCCAGTGTCTGGCACAGCTCTTGGTGTGTTTAAAAACGTTAAAACAGAAGAATGAAAATCAACTTGACCAAAAGAAGAATCCCATGAACTTGAGTACCAGTTCGTCTTCTTTCCTCCCTTTCAGTATCTCCTATATTGGCTTCTGCATTTCTCACATATCTTTTATCCATGCGTCGATTTTTACACATTGACATAGCTTACCTACTTTTAATGGCTCTTACCTGCCCACATCATAGTTGCCGAGCTTTTCTCCAGGTCAGTCATTCTGGTATTCACTGTTACTAACTGCAGTGCTCTAAGTACTTGTAGAAATCACTTTTCCCCCTCCTGAATTATTTCCTTGGGCTGTGTTCCCAAAATGAGTCAAAAGAGCATAGACAGTTCAATAAATGCTCTCACTTGGTCATTCCCTAACAAGTGATGATACCGTAAGCACTCTTAACAGTTGTGTGGATTTAAGACATGCTCTAGTGATCGTGTCATGATTGATTTTCTTGCAACCTCCTTCCAGAGTTTATGAGTGTAACAAACGCTGCAAATGTGACCCAAACATGTGCACAAACCGGTTGGTGCAGCACGGACTCCAGGTTCGGCTCCAGCTATTCAAGACGCAGAACAAGGGCTGGGGTATCCGCTGCTTGGATGACATCGCCAAGGGCTCCTTTGTCTGTATCTATGCAGGTCGGTGACGAAAGGTTTGCTGTCTTGGGTTGGGATGTAGTGGGGAAATGAATCAGGGACAAGTTTGAACATAAGAAAAAAAAGCTTGACATATGAACTGGGACTCACAGGAGGCCCAGATTTTCTTCTGTAAAGAACGTGACAAGTGACGTGCCCACCTGGGTGGACGAGGAAGGCACAGAAGTGCTTCCTAAGGACAAGAATGGCAAGGGGTGAAACTGGGTGTGCAGTTTCGGAAGGACGTGGCGGTTGAGTCCAGGGTATCATTTTCTCCCATATCACTCGACCCTGTCACTCCGCTCCACCCAGAGGTCTTTTGGTGGAGCTGAGAACTCTCATGGGAAACAGAGTCAAGAGGAAGGGTGAGTGGGGAGCTAGAAAGCAAGATGTAAAACCACAGTAAGCTCCGCGTGCTCTCCTGGCAACGGCACAAAGGCGACGAGACTCCATAGTGGAGACATCGGACTGTGCTGGTGGGCTGGGTATTGGTGGGACGACCCTTGCTCTTTCTGAACGATCCTCATAACCCTGGAAGGCCTTTACTTTTCTTCCTTTCTAGGCAAAATCCTGACAGACGACTTCGCAGACAAGGAGGGCCTGGAAATGGGCGACGAGTACTTCGCCAACCTGGACCACATCGAGAGCGTGGAGAACTTCAAGGAGGGTTACGAGAGCGACGCCCCCTGCTCCTCGGACAGCAGCGGCGTGGACTTGAAGGACCAGGAGGACGGCAACAGCGGCACCGAGGACCCCGAAGAGTCCAACGACGACAGCTCGGACGACAACTTCTGTAAGGACGAGGACTTCAGCACCAGCTCAGTGTGGCGCAGCTATGCCACCCGGCGGCAGACGCGCGGCCAGAAGGAGAACGGGTTGTCTGAGACGGCTTCCAAGGACTCGCGCCCCCCAGACCTCGGGCCCCCACATATTCCTGTCCCTCTCCCCATCTCTCTGGGTGGCTGCAATCCACCTTCCTCTGAAGAGACACCCAAGAACAAGGTGGCCTCGTGGTTGAGCTGCAATAGTGTCAGTGAAGGTGGCTTTGCTGACATGGACAGCCAGTCTTCCTTCAAGACCAGCGAAGGTGGGGACGGCCGGGCTGGGGGAGGCCGAGGGGAAGCCGAGAAGGCCTCCACCTCCGGGCTGGCCTTCAAGGATGAGGGAGACAACAAGCCAGCCAAGAAAGAGGTAAGCAGTGCCAGAAAGAGCGGTGGCTTTTGTGGGACCTCGGTGCCATACAGGCTCCATGCCGTCTCACCAGGAGTCTTCACATGTAGATTATTTACTTAGTGGCTCTTTCTGTGGCAAACCTGATTATCTCCTCCTCCAGCCAACACAATCCTAGTGTTTGTTTAAAGAACCAAATTATTTGAAAATCAACCTGCTGGGTTGCTTCATTTCCAGAGTGAAGGGTTTATTTATTTATTTTTTTTAGCTGAGCCATCCTGCCACCTGTTGGCAGCTCAGCTTGGGCCGGGACTTGAACCGCTGTTGCTCAGAGCTCAAACTCTTGAGCGAGCTCTTAACCAACTGAGCCACTGGGCCGGCCCCAGAGTGAAGGGTTTATAAGTGACTTGTAATGATGTTGAAACCGACCACATTTCAGGTAGCAAACTGTGTCCCTTATCCTTTCAAGACTCTGCCCATGCTCTTTCTCCATAAGCGTTTGATGCCCTTTTGGGGAGGGTTGAAGACCTCTGCCGGGGGGTTTGCTGGTGAGAATACGATGGTCGCTGTCAGGCTGCAGTCACTTCTCCAAGTGAATCATTACACACCTCACTTGAGAGAGCTTAACTCCCCCCTGGCTAATGGCTTTGGAAGTCATTTGAGCTGAAGTCTAAATATTGGATTTGTTCCCTAGGACCTTAGAAACGTTTAACCCTCCACTTGCTCTCTCTTCCAGGACCCTGACGACCGACCCAAGATGTCAATGTAAGTGCCTCCTTTTGACCTGTTTCCAAGTCTGCCTTCTTATTTCCATCCTCCAAAAGAAGCCAGAGAAAAGCAGGCCATAACCTGACCCCTCTCGCTCCTTCCCCTCCCCTCAGAGTTACTGAGAGCTCTCGAAATTACGGTTACAACCCTACTCCCTCGAAGATGGAAGGACTTCGCCGCCCGCCCAGTAAGACGAGTATGCACCAGAGCCGACGGCACTTGGCCTCAGCTCAGTCCCACCCGGATGTGAGTGACCTTGTCTCAACGCGCTACCTCACCAGCCCTGTCTGATTCAGAGTCTGAGTGGAGGGACGTCCTCCTCACCTCAGGCCCTTCGCTGTAATTGCTGTTAGAGCTTTCTTTCCGGGCTGCTTTGCCTTGCCTTCCTGCCTTGTTTTCCTCCATCCAGCATCCGATCTTCCCCTCGCTGTAGCCTGAGCCCCTTTCCGCCTGAGCGCAGGTAAGAGCAGGAGCTTGAAGGGCCCCCTCCATTGACGCTTCTTCCTTCTCCTTGCCCTTCTGCCTTCTCAGGATGTCCTGACACTGTCGAGCAGCACAGAAAGTGAGGGCGAGAGTGGGACCAGCCGGAAGCCCACCGTTGGTCAGACTTCGGCCACAGCCGTTGACAGCGATGATATCCAGACCATCTCCTCTGGCTCTGAAGGAGATGACTTTGAGGACAAGAAGAACATGTCCGGTAGTCTGGAAGAATTTAGGGGGGTGGTAGGCACCGTAGGCAAGTTGGGTAGAGGAGTTTGAAAGGAAGGTGAAGAACGGGGGCATTGAGATCCTGAGAGTTGGCGCATCTCTGGGAGGCTCCCTGGCTCCTGGCTAGACTGTTACTTCTGTTTGACACAACCCCTTCCTTTCTTCTTTCCGATTCCCAGCTCTTCCCCTCAGCTCCTTTATCCAGCATATCTAATCCTGCTTGGAAAAAACCGCCACCTACGATCTTTGCTTCAGTCCCAACTTACTGTTACTCCTGCGCTGCCGTCGATGGGATGAAGATGGGGGTAGAATGTCCATCCAGTCATGAGTTGGGTTGGGTCCTGACGCTGTTCTTCCTGTCCAGGTCCGATGAAGCGCCAGGTGGCAGTAAAATCAACCCGAGGCTTTGCCCTTAAGTCAACCCATGGGATCGCCATTAAGTCCACCAACATGGCATCGGCGGAGAAGGGGGAGAGCGCGCCCGTACGGAAGAACACCCGCCAGTTCTATGATGGCGAGGAGTCCTGCTACATCATCGATGCCAAGCTGGAAGGCAACCTGGGCCGCTACCTCAATGTGAGACCCCTTTCCCGCACGTCTAGATGCCGGGTTATTCCAGGGTCCTCAAATTCTAGTGCTTTTAACGCCACTGTAGAAACCCACCTGTTCTTGTTACAAATCGTTGATCTCAAAGGATCTTAAAGCGGTAGCCTTCTTTTAAAACTCCTCTGCCCTGACGGGGACGATCCGACGGCATAGTTTTCCTCCAGCCCTCACTCCCCCCACCAAGCCGGATCCTGTTTCCGTGGTTCTGACTGACCCTGTCCTTAAACCTACAGCACAGTTGCAGCCCCAACCTGTTTGTCCAGAATGTCTTTGTGGATACCCATGACCTTCGCTTCCCCTGGGTGGCCTTCTTTGCCAGCAAGTAAGAGGGAGTCAGGAAAGGGGGTGTGTGGGGAGGGAAAGAAGCCCCGGGGGTGAGGAGGGGCAAGGACTTGTGCAATTCTGGGGCCCCTCCTGTGATCCACTGGGAACCCAGCTCCACCCGCACACGCGCAGCCCCGGGCACCTGGGCTACCTGCTGTCCTCCCACACGCCCCCCTTGTCTCCCTGTGTAGGAGAATCCGGGCTGGGACAGAACTGACTTGGGACTACAACTACGAGGTGGGCAGCGTGGAAGGCAAGGAGCTGCTGTGCTGCTGCGGGGCCATCGAGTGCCGAGGACGTCTGCTCTAGAGCGTGGCTGCCGCCTCCCCTGCACCCTCCCCGGCCTGCCCTCCTCAGGAACAGGGCCTGCCTGACTGTTCAGCTCTGACCCCAGCTCTCCAGTCTAGCTACGCCCCCAGCTCCTAGGCAATAGGAATGGGGGTTCTGGATCGGGAGACCCCTTCCAGTGTGGTGCTAGCAGCCTGGGCCTGATAACCCTCCGTCCTGTTGGTCATCCCCACCATCCGACACTTGTTCATGCTTCTAACAAACTTGATTCCCGAAATGAGGGCTGTGTATCTTACTACCCCTGGTTTGTATCGTTTCTTGAAAGTCTTTCAACAAGATGTTAAGACGAAGATCGTGATTTGATTTTTCTCTCCCTCAGCCTCCATGTTCCCAGTTCTGGGTCTTTCCATGAGAGGCCTCTTCGCCCCCGTCCTTCCCAGTGGGCAGCTGTCATTAGTCTCGAACCTTCTCTACCTTTGCTTTTTCTTATTTGCCACGTGAAATTTGAAACAAATTGTTATATAACCATGAGGAAGACGACCTTACTTTATTTAGTTGATTCCCCCTTCTCAATTCCCAATAGTCTCAGACACTTGTTGCCATGTTTTACTTAATCTTTAATATATTTTAATTAAAAAAACCATTAACAGTACATTTTGGTCTGATGTGGTCCCTCTGCTAAAATGCCAGGTGCTAGCTGTAATTCTGGCTTTAAAACCAAAACCCCAAATGTTTAATAAATAAAAAAAAATTAGAACTAGTTGCCATTCTACTCCAAACCAGCTAGCCTAGGGGAAGAGGCCAGAGAAAGGAGGCAGTAAGATCCTGGACCTGTGACTACAGGGACAGCTGGCAGAGAAGTAGTTACACAGACTGAGCAGTCCCCGGTATGGCCCCCACTTTTTGGCAGAGGTAGGGGAAGGGTCATGTGCACCCTCCTCCACTCAATTCATTTGCATCTTAGGAGAGAAACAGTTAACGTCTCAGCTTTGGTTTCTGGTCCAAGTGAGGGAGCTTAGAAAGGTGAGCCCTGGTCCAGCTTTGGCAGAATGAGGCCCACAGATGGGACAGTAAGGCACGACCCTGGCTGTGGAGTTCAGGGGGTCAAAGGCAAATGGCCAACTTCTGAAGGATAAGGAATGTGAGTTGCAGCCCCCACCCCCAGAGCTGAGGAAGGGTCCTGAAAGCAATAGAAAGGGCAACGTGGGAAATGAGACCACCCTCCGCCCACCCCTGACAAAGGACATAACCAGCCTCCCCAGGTAGAGACCTGGGGACAGGCTGGTTAGGATTTGGTTTAAAGGCAACTGAGTGACAAGCAAGGGGTGGGGCACAGAGAAGAAGCCTTTCCTCCGGCTTTTGCCTTTCTCTCCAGAGCTTAAAGTGACCCTGTGGGGAGGGTGGGGTGGTTCCTTGGCTTTACGCATTAATCTGAGGCGGCAGGGACAATGGTTCAGTCATTCTTACGATGGTTGTTGAGGATGGGGTGGCCGTTGGCTAGGGGCCGGCTCTTGGCTCCCCCAGCCGCTGCCTCCTCCCCCTCGGAGCTCTCCGTTTCTTCCCGGTCACTGCGTTCATCTTCTACCTGCTGTGGAAAGGGATAAGAAGGGTTACTCCACGTCCTCCGAGCCCTAAGGACTGCCTCTCTGCGCAGGCTCGGTCCAGCTACACCCAGGGCCCCACCGTAGTTTTTCAGAGGGTTGCTTCCCCGTAGGGGAGCGAGTTTGGGCAGCTTCTAGAGTTAAGCGTAGTAGGGCCTACAAAACGGACAGAGCTTTCACCTTTCCAGTTATGAACTTGTGGGCCATCCGCAAAATGAGGTAGGCCCAGAAGATATGCAGCATTTGTAGCACGCCCATCATAGAATTGAAGAAGTAATAGCCGAAGAAGGCGGGATAGAGCTCCAGCGGGTATACCACGGTGCAGTGCAGGATCCTGGGTACAGGAAGGGGGTAGAACTGTAAACCCCGCAGGGAGGGGTCAGGATGGGGGCCAGGTAAGGGCAGGGAGGGCAGGGTGGAGGACAGGTTAACAGTGGGGAGGCAGGACCCCTGGTTCGGACCAGCTGCCTACTCACCAGAAGGGCAGGATGACCAGTCGGGTGATGATGAAGACGATGGCGAAGACAATGAAGATGTTGTTGCAGGTGTTTTTCCATCCCGCGTAGTTGAACATCTTGGCTGACTGCACGGGGAACCCCACCCGTCATTGCGGTTCCCTGACTTCCCCCATGCACATTCACACATACACCCCGGTCGCCACACTGGCTCTGTGTCCCCCACCCCCACCCTGGAAAAGGACAGAGGGACAGGAGAGCCTGTCCCAGGGCCTCTGGGTTTGCTGACCTCCAGCAGGTAGTCAGAGGAGTCGTGCAGAGCCATGATGAGAGTCCCCGCCCGGATGTAGTTGGCAAACCAGGAGAAGCTGATGAGAATGATGGTGGCCACGTGATGGATGATCTGCTCCTTGAAATCCTGCAGAAAAGAGGCAGCTCCAGAGCACTCATTCCTGACCTCAGCCCCGGCTATTCCCGCTTCCTCCCGCTCCCTTTCAGTTCCCCATCAGTTCCCCACAGCCCACAGCTCCATCCGAAGCACCCAGAAATCACAGGGGAGGCTGTTCATCACAGCACTCCATGTTGGCTTCAGGCTTAACGGCTCAGCCCATGGACTCACCTTCCGTTTGACATCAGAGGCGATGCTGAAGAGCAGGGACCAGTAGAAAGAAAGTTCAATCATGTAGTACCAGTACTGAGAGGGAATGGTGCTCTGGAAGGGAGGAGAGAGAAGTAGGGCCCAGAGCCACGGGACCCAGCGTCTCCCGTCTCCAGACCCAGCCCTTCTGGCCCGAGGTTATGTTTAGCACTGACACCAGTCCCTTGTGCCATGTGTTCCAGAGGTCACCTCTTCACAAGTGTGTGTGTGTGTCCTCGTCCCACCCTACACCGATTCTCTTACCCCCACATAAGGAAATCAGGACTCCACCTCATACCTGTATGGGATATCCCTCCCAAACTTTCTTCATGTCATAGAACCAGGGTTTCTGCAGAGATGGTGAGAGGTTAAAAGACAGACCCAAATTCTATGGCCACCCCACACCTGCCAGGGGACCTTACCCCCACCTCCCAGTAATCCCCACTCACATCCACAATGACAGCCATGCCGGCAATGAAAGCAATCAGGTAAAATGTGAATCTCCAGCTGGAAAAGGAAGCGGAAATGGCTAGGAGGGTGGGGTGGGAGGCGGGCACAAGCCTCCGGGCCCCAACCAAATACGCCAGAGATCTCAGAACATCACGAATGACCCAATCATCTCACCTGGGTGAGATCTCACCCTGCATGCAGCCGTTGCCCCCACCCCTCCCAGCAAGACACACCAGGCCTTCCTCTGCCACCCAGCTCCGCATGCCCTAGCCGCCCCACCTGGCCTCTCGGAACTTCTTGAGGAGACTGGGCCGGTCCTGGTTGCGGCGGCGGCGGAACCAGCGCTCCACCTGGCGGCCGGAGAGCCCACTCTGCCGGGACAACAGCTCTACCTCCACCTGGGTGTCGTGAAGAAGCCATCATCACATGGCGCTTCAGAGCTCAGCAGCGATCCCTCACCCTTCCCCATGAACAACCCAAGTCAGCACCACCGCCTTCCCACCCACCAGAGCTGGCACTGCGACCCATGCCTCCCCTCCCTTCCGCTCCCCTCCCCGCCAGAACTCAGCAACGCCCAGAGAGGGGCTGCAGTTCACACCTGTTTGGGATGCTTGCCGTTGTTCAGGTAGAAGTGCTCCAAGGTGGGGTTGGGAGATGCCCGCAGCCGAGTTTTCTCCTTGACATTCAGGAGGGCAGCCAGTGGTGTGGCCACGTAACTGGGGAAGGAACACGAGAGTGGTAAGTGTCTGGCTCTCTTGAAGCACCTCAATCTCTGGGTAGCCCCCTAGGCTGGGAGGAGAAAGGACTGCAAGCTCGGGCAACTTCATTCTGGGCCTCAGTTTCCCGGCAAGCCCTTCTCTGGCCTCCTTGGGCTGCCCATAGCTGACAAAGGCGCCTGTGTTCACGAGTGACCAGGCGGGGTGGAGGGTGAGAACAAATAAGCATTGACAGAAAGGGCCTGAGGGTGTTGAGCCCTCAGGAAGACAATGCTGCCTTCAGTGGGGGACACACAGTAGGCAGGGACCTGGGTGGCCAGAACACCAGGGGCCAGGACCAATTAAAAAGCAAGAGACACTTGAAGTGCAAGAAGCGGTGTGGCTGGCAGCCAGGGAGGGCATGGGGGCAGGCGGGTATGCTCACAGCTCAAAGAAGTATCGAATGATGAGGAAGAGCAAGGCCAAGGGTAGTGTGACGTAGAGGTCTGAGGCTTTGGCGTAGACACGTCCATCTCGGTCTTCTAGGTCAGCCCAGGTTAAGTTCACAGGCAGCCACAACCGTTCCCACCAGAAGTAATCATACAAGGTCTGGAGCATCCTGAGTGAGGCGTGGGGAAGGTAGAGGGCATCAAAGGGGGCAGCCATGGGGGACAGAGAGAGATGACAATTTCCATGGCAAACAAAAGGGGCAGGGAGCAGAGACTCAAGCCCTCGGCTCAGGTCCTGGTCACGTGACCTTGGCCAACTCAGTGTCCTCGTCTGTAAGGTGGCTGGTTTCCAGTTCTAACATTTACTATTTACAGCAATCGCAGGTGATGCTGACAACCCCCCCCCTCCCGGAAGTCCGGATGCCCTAGAATGAAGAACCTCAGATCTCCCATCATTCTGCCTCCCCAGCATGGAGGACAAGCAGGATCTCTGGCCCTGGAGGCTGTAGTCAAGTCAGAGGCACCCTCCCTTCCCCCCGACTCTCCAGACACCCCCTCCAGCCCCTCAGCCAAGCAACAACTGCAAACTTCCCAGCCGGGGAAGCTCAAAAACAGATTGCACGTATTAACCAATGTCACCCCAATAAATTTAATTTAAAAAAAAACACAAAAAACGTATTGCAGGGCTGGGGCAAAACCTCTCTTCCCCTCTCCTATAACCCTTCTAGGCAGCGGGTCCGTAGGGAAAATTAAGAGGCCAGAATAAAGTAAAATTGTGTCCCCAAATGAGGCTGAGCTCTAGGACAAGCAGTGGACAGCAAACTTTTGCACACAAGATTAACACCCATGCCAAGCCACCCACCCTCTACACTCAGGCAGAAGAGCCCTAGCTAGGCAAGTGAGGGCAAAGCTGCAGGGGGACAGGGAATCAAAACAGCAGACCAATACATCTGGCAGAACTAGAAACTTGTTAAGGCTCCCCCAGAAAATAAAATACTAGTCTGCAGGGTGACAGCCGGCACAAATACCCTCAGCTCCCCCTTTCTCCACTGAAAGAGAAAGGACCGACAGAGGGGCATGACCACTTGGACACTGAATGAAGGAGGAAGTGGTCTGTGGCTCTCGAGGGGGCAGCAGCTGCTCGGAGCCCAGAGAAGCAGCAAGACGGTCCCAAGAGTCAGTGATGCTGGAACCAGCACAAGTGGCGGGCCGGGGACTCAGCAGTGAAGGCCAGCAGGGTGACAAGGACAGTGCTTTCCAGGCTGCGGACTCCTCACCCTCCCAGGTGGGAGGAGAGGTGGTGGTGTTCAGGCTGGCCTTGGGACTAAAAGCTGACCCAGAGGGAAGGTGGTCGTGCCTTCCGCTACCCCCACCAGGGAGGAAAGAGAGTGGGGAGATTGTTCGCTGTGAACTGGAGACCTGTGGGTGCCCCTGGCAGAAGTCTCATTAGATAGATCACAGCTGGGCTGGGCTGGGCCTCTGGCCCCTCCTCCCACAGCCCCGCCCCCACCCACCACAGAGGCGCTTGCGAAATCCCTCTCAGCCTGTCACGGGTCAGTATTCCAGCTCAAGGACTTTACCCTCTTGTCCCCATTCCTGGTCACTGCTCTCTTGGATGGAATCAGAGGTCAGCACTGACAAAGGAGCTTCAGCGCCACCTCCCATGCCCCTAATACCCCCCCACACACACACACACACACACACAGATTCCAGGTCTCAGCTCCTGAGGGCACTGCCCCCTTTCCCCTCTACCTTAGCCAGAATAAATATTTAATTAGTTAAAGAGATGGAAGCCTTTTGAACTGAACAAAATTAAACATAATTATCCACAGTGGAACGTTCCCCACACAGCTGCGCACGCACACACTTTTTTTCTTAGAGAAAAGGGGTATAAAATGCAATAGAGAAGGGACAGGGCGGATGCCCTGTGGCGCACCCCTGGCTGCCCCTGCCCACCTTCCTGCTGAGCCTGACTGGAGGTGGGGAGTATACCTGACCCAGTCACCTGACTGCTGTGGCTCTTGGAGCCCAGTTTGCTCTCCACTGAGATCTAATGCCAAGGGTACAGGCAGGCCTTGGCGGTGGGCCCCGTCCCGACCTGGTCAGACAGGGACATTTGGAGAATTAAAGATTAAGAGGGCTGGCTGGGGTCCTGGAGGGGTGGGTGGAGCCCCTCCCCCTGACCCCTGGGGCCCAGGAATGTCTGATGCCCTTCCTATTCCAACAAAGAAGGTGAGGGGCTGGGGAGGTAGGCAGAGGTGTCAGAGCAGTCAAGGGCAGGCGCCTCGCCTCCATGGTGCGATGGGGCATCTATCTGAACCCCAGGACACGACAGCACCTGTCTCCTTCCTGCTCCACGCAGGGAGAGTGGAAGGCGGGTGTGAGCTGTGAGGACAGCATGGTGTCAGGCCGTCAGAAGTGCAGAGTAATGGGGGCTTCCCGCACCTGGGTCTCAGGCTTTCTGTGACCACAGCCTTCCCTTGCTGCCTGGTCCTTCCATTAGCAGAGGAGCACTACACACACACACCCCCCCACCCCCGGCCTAGCCCAGCAGGGAGAGACACCAGATTCAGGAGGTCAGGACTTCAGAGTCAACATGGGGGGAAGGACAACAAGAGTTCCCGCCACTGGCCTCACTGACACACCCCCACAGAACCAACAGGTCTGCTCCCAGGGGGCGGCCCTGGCGGCTCTTGGCACCAGCACACCAAGCCAAACAAGGGGGTCCCATAACCAAAAGCCTGGGGCAAAAGAGAGGGCTGTGTGCGGGGGTCAGGACGCCAGGCCCCCTGACCCTCAGGGAACAGTTATTTGATTTTCTGGTGGAGAAAAAAAAAAATCACACCTACAGATACGTTTCCACTCATTGAATTCACTCCCCCGCACCCCCTCACACGAAGAGACAATAGGTGTGTGTGTGTGTGTGTGTGTGTGTGTGTGTGTGTATGTCTCAGATTCTGACACTGACACACACACACACACACACACACACCTCCTCACAAACACAGACGCCACTTTTGGAGGCGCAGCCTGGAGAGGGGCCAGCAGAGCAGGGATTCATGGCATTAGATTACCAGGAACTTGAGCTCGGCTCAGCCCAGTCCCCACCCTTCGCCCCAACTCTGACTGACCTCTCCCAGATGGATGAAAGGGGGCAGAGGGTCCCCCCCGGGGGACTTGGAGACCCAGAGGGCAGGGAGGGCAGAAGTTTGAGTCTGTGAGAAAGGGATCTCCTGGACTCAGTGTGAAAAGACAGTCCCCCTGGCTCTCGGAGTTCGGAGGCATAACTGAGGAAAATATAATAGGATAAGCAATGGAGGAGAGAGTGACAAAGACGGGGTCCCACAGGGTCCCACAGGCTCCCGGCTTCCACTGAAACCTGGGGAACTACACAAAAGAAGTGGAAGATGACCTGAATAGTCCTCCTTGTTGAAAACTTTTCAGGCAGCAACAGCAGCAGGTCATGAACTAGGAGCCTGCAAGCAATGGGTGACGCCAAGAAGAGGTGTCATGGCTCCAGGCTGCCGCATACGCCCCAAAATCTAGCTTGTCTGGGCTGCCCCACCACGGGCCCCAACACACCCAAATACTGCATGAGACTACTGACACCCAGGGGTAAGAAGAGGCTGGCAGGTTGAAGATGGGGGGGTGGGGGGGAGAGGCAGTGCTGAAAGGCACATTAAAGGACCAGCCAGCCTGTGGCCAGTGACAGGGAAGAGGTCCTTCCGCCCAGGGGGCAAGCTGGTCAGAGACCCCACTAAAGGGAGCGGACTGTGGGTACCCAGGAACACAAGGAACTCTCTTTAGAACAGTCTGTGCAGGTCACTCTAGGATTAGGGCCAGGCCCGGAGGGACAAGGCTGCAGACAGCTCCTTACCCCTAGGAGCCTCATCACAAGCTCAGTCACCGCCCACATTCAGGCCCAGTCACCTGGACTGCGATATGGGACAGTGACCCCTCCAACACAGATGTGAAAGTGACTGCCTGAAGTCCCAGATTCGATTCTCTGGGAAGAGGGGCTCCCTCCGCTCCTCAGGAGCCCCTGACAGCTGGCCCTGGCAACTGGGGTGACTGGGCCCAGGTCTGGATGCCAGGAGCCTGGCTTGGGGTGAGGGAGAAACCCCCAACCTGAGGCCAAAGACTCACCCCACACACCTGCAATTAACCTACTTGCCAGAGAGCCTGCAGGCCAGTAATTCGCAAGCTGTGGCACAGAAAACCAGTTTCACCAGCAGCTCCCCCTCCGCCCCGGCCACACACACCCCCTAACGGTTTAGGAGCCTTACCCTAGGGGGGCACACACCCCCTAACGGTTTAGGAGCCTTACCCTTGGGGGGCACACACCCCCTAACGGTTTAGGAGCCTTACCCTTGGGGGGCCGGGGCAGACTCTCGGAGCCACTCCTTCCTGTTTCCCGTTAAGCACATGGACGCTCTGACCTCCCTCTGGGAGTGGGCACCGTGCGCGCGTAAGAAGAAAAAGACCCTCCTCTCCGCTCCCACTCCGGGCTCGCACCGGTCCAGGCCAGGACCCCCGCTCCGCTGGGGGGCTCGCGCGCAAAGGGTCGGTCCCCAAGCCTCGCTGCTCCCCCACAAAGGGACGCCTGTGGCTCGGGCCCGCGGCCCGGGCTGCCCACCCCGCGACCCCTACCTGTTGCCCAGGAGGGCCTCTCCGCGCTCGGGGCGGCGCGCCCCGCACCCGCGGGCCCTCAGGCGGCGCTGGGGGCCGGCCGCTCCCGCCAGGCGCC